TTGTTGAGTATGCTGGGTACGCTGGATTGTGAGTCTGGGTTTCGTGAAGGGGTTGTTGTCGTTGGAATCTTTTGGGTGGATGGAATGATTGAAAGTTAAGAGTCAATGATCGATATTCGAATCAAAGGAGACTTGATCCTTACGAGAGGATAGAGAGAGAGAGAGAGAGATGATATGATATGATGTGATATGATATGTATAACCCTAAGTATATATACCTAAGCAAGGAAAGCTGAGCGAAACGGGAAATTTAGCGATCTAGGTGTATACTGTAATATATACGCAGAAATACACGAGAAGTACAAAGTGTAAAGAAAATAAATAAGTGTGAAGATATAGGGATGTTGTAGATGGGATGATATACCTATCCATTTATTTATGATATTATTTCGCCATCAGAGCATCTTTTGGATTCTATATTTTAGGGAGTAACAGTATGAATGGTATTGTTGATATTTAGATGGCTATTTAGATATAGTTTGTGTCGTTTATGGTTGGGATACATGAGGGAGTGAGTGAGGGGGCCTAGTGAGAAGTTGGAGAGTGGTGAGATATGAGGTATGGGATTTGAAATGGGTCTGTAGGTTGATCATGGTTGATATGTGTGCCGAGTATTCTTGTATAGATTGGAGATTTGTTGGGGGATAGTGATAGGAAAGAGTGGCTTGGATGGAGAAGGGAATAGTAGGGTGATAGAGAGGTGGTAGGAGGGAGGGTCTGGGGAAAGAGGATTGAGATTGGGCTATGAATATGCATATACAGATGAGGTGAGCATATGATTATTCCTATGAGAATGAGATGGCAATGAAAAGAGAACTTGATAATTTTATATTCTGCGCAAGTACCAATAGATATGTGGATATATGAAAAGGTGTCAAGTGATAGCGAACACCAGTTCCATAATGTACTGCCTCAAAGCGAAACCCTTTGCTTCAGCATCGAATTGCCTCTCACTTGCTTGTCCAACATTTAGCACTCTATCTGACAATACTTGACCATTCCAGACCATTAGGTTAATCAATTTCTATCAAAAAGTGTAGGTTTCTTGAAGTTTGAACTAAAACCAGGGTTTGGGATCGTAGCGAGAAAGATGAAAGGGAATTTGATAGGGGAGCACATGTGTGCTCAGCACACGGCTCGAGGAGAACAAACTCGTAGTGGCATACACTAGCTTTTAAGTCGGCATGAAGCTTCTTTCCATATCGACTCGCTCAACTATTGGAGTTCATCAAAAGCTCTAAATTGGCTGGTATTGCTAGTTCTGCACGCCCTCTAAGATATCGGGAACTTGCTACGTGGGATTCTTCCATCCGGATCCTCCCTCATCTAGATCAAATGGAGGAATCTCGTCAATAATAGAAGTTATGTTAGGAGCTGAGGATACTCATAGTGGGAAGTATTGAGATGCTAGGGTCTATGTAGATCTAATCATGATGCACCTGAATGTGCACGACTACCTTCGTCTGTTGCACCTCTACTAATCGAGACATTATGACCTAACAATCCAAAAGCTCCTCTGATGTATGTTAAAGGCTTTTTACGACTCCTCATACAGCAGAAAATTCAACTAACGAAATTACACCAAGCTTTATAATCAGCTCTTGGCTACCATTAAGCCATCATAGCCTTCAGTTTTAATTCTTTATCTTTTGTATTTGAAAAGCCCCAAGCGATACGGTAGTGATACGACGAAACTCATATCAAATAGTCTATATCTGGTTCATATGAATGAATAGTCTTCTTCACACGCCAATAATGGCTTTTGGGCTGTTCACTTCTAGCAGGTTAAGTTTTGGCAAAAAAAGCTGTCGTGTGTGAAGACGGTAGCAGAATCTTCCAAGTGGTAGATTGATGAGACTCCCATGTAGAATGCAGTTGACATGCTCAAGCCTCACCCAGGTACGGTACGAATCGAATTTCAAAGGTTAGATAGATCACCGAAGGGTCCATTCTGGCTAATAGATAGTATTGATATACTAGTTCTTGCTCCAGCAAACTATCCAAACATGAGTTGTCCGTTGTAGAAAAAACAAGGCCAGAATCGTAAACAATGGTATGAAGCAGACACCCAGCCCTGAAACGTACGATATATATACACGCTACCCGTACCATGGAGAAGTGTATACTGATGACAAAGATGTGGAACAATTTGTTCGTGGCCCCATCAATTCAGTATAATCTAAAAGGAGCAATAGAGGAATAAGAAGAAAATCGTGCCCAGAGAGAAGCAGCAAGGCTATTAGCAGAGAGCCAACCCAAACCTACAATCAATTGCAACTGAATTGCATATCCGGCCCAAGCTTGAATCGAGAAGACTCAATGCTTTTCATCGTTTGAACCAAAACACAACTAGCCTAACCATCCAGTTTCCCACGGTGTCTCCACTCCGAGTCTGTGAGTCCCCAAGTACACAGATGACGGAGTGGTCGTTGTACGTTGTACGTTGTGGGTGTAACGACGAGGCTACATAATCAGGGGCAAGGACCTTCAGTACAAATACAGGTACTGTATACAATATATTTCCATGGATTACAATGTTGTCTCAAGCAATAACGCCAGCACGACCTATCCCAAGCACCCTTGAGTCGACAAACAACGATGACTGCCCATGTCTCTTAGTCAAGTTATTGTATATGCAACTCCAACTTGGGATGGTGCGCCATAAAAACATCCACTAATTGCGTAGGAACCTTCATTACCGACAAAAATTAAACGTTCCGGTGCTTGAGTAAGCGATTGAGGATGTGAAGCTATATCATAAGATTCTGGACCCTTTCATGAGAAAAGACTCAGGAGACACAAACGAGTCAGCAGAGAAATGCTGAGAAGCTACGATTGATAGGTGGGTAAATTTTGTTGATTTTCTCGGTTTCTTTCGCTCAATTTCCCCGTTTTGTGTGGACGTTATTCCACCTGATTTGCAAAATTTCACCCAGACACTGATTATCCTCTTTTTTTGCCCCTTTCTCTTCGTTACATGTCATTCAGACCCCCGTGTCTCGTAGTGTCCACCTTTTTGTTGCGAACGAGCCTTCTTGCCATATGCATTTTCTTGAATGCAGATGTGTGACTGTATATTGGACATGAATTTTCTCATATGTATTCCGACACGTCAATAGAGAAAGGCATCCGGTAGGAAACTGTTCCTAATCTATTCACAATCTTAGGGAGTTTTCCTCTCTCGGGTCTGATGGTTGCCTTGAGTGATCATCTGGAGAGTCTTTTGAAGATGTCAAATTGCATTTAATTTCGGGGGTATCATTCAACTCGTATATCGTACATATATTCTCTCCGCGCTTGATAATGCAACTCAAGCATATTCTTCGTCCTCCACTTCCTCCATCTCTACAGTCATTTGACCACCTTCCTCAGTTTCTTTCTTTTGTCCACCACTGCCAGCAATATAACCTTCTTTTTCTAATTTTTCCATCTCTTCCGGTTCCATCAAGCCACCTTCTCCCTTTCCTTTCTGCATTTTCATCCTCACAGCCGCAGGAACAAAAGCCACAGCTTCCTTCCGAAGATCTCGTATTTGCGGCTTTGCTTCATATACTGTCTTGACTTCCTGTTGTACCTTGACACTACTTCCAGTATCCCGATTACCAAATTCCCCGCGATCTTTTCCTCCCAATGGCATAGAATTCGCGCTTGTGCCTCCACTCTTCTCGCCGTTTTGATTTTGATTCTGTGCCTGATATCGCGCCCGTCGCGCCGCGTACCATTTATCCAGTACTTCTTTTGGAAATGGAGGTGGCGTATCCCTCGGCATGGGTATTCTCTTAACTTCTTCATCAACATCCGACCCACTACTCTCTTCATCCATGTCCCCATCTCTTCTTCGTTTGCCCAAGACACCGCTCCCGCCTCGTCCCCCAAACCCTCCTCTTCCTCCCCTGTCTCCACCAAACCCACCCCTCGACTGCGAAAACTGAGGTGCTGCATCGCCTAAAGATTCGCGCGCTTTATTTACAGCTTTAATTTCCTTTTCTAATCCTTCTACCAGTGATCGTTCATGACTTGTGAGTTTCCCGCCAGAACTTTCTATCTTCTTGAGGTCGTCGAGTTGGGATTGTAGACGTTGTGGATTTTTCTTGGCGAGTCGTTCATTCTTCTGAGCTTGTAAAGATGCCTTGCCTGACAATAAGTTAGTATTATGCTCGAGCTAAATAACAATATTGGAGAATTGGATGGTTGATTGCGTACTTTTTTTGATGGCTTTTGCCTTTTCAGCTTTGCGCTGAGCTTGTGCGGGATTGACAGACTTTTCTTTGGGCATTGTGGTTATAGTTAAATAGTGCCAACTGAAAACCCCGAAATAAACTATAAGAAATGGTTGAAATGGGTTTGAGAATTGCACGGAGAATTTGTGGTCTTGAAGATCTGGGGAGTCGTTGATATCGTGAACCATCATTCTGCCAAAAGGCGGTGAACTCGCATAATTTCAACTTCCAGTTAGACGTCAGAAACAACCACATCTCATAGCGCAAAACGGAGCAAAGCTTTTAGAACTGAATCGATAAGCAGGCTTGTTCTTATTACTTGAGTGTATTTCAAGCGTGTTGTTAAGTTCACCGGTTTCATGTAATTTATTGGAGTGGCTAGCATGCTGAAATACCATTGGTTCAAATGGATAATCGTCTTAAAAATGATTAGTATAATTAGGTAGTTACAGAAGTTGAAAATAAGATGACATTAGTCAATAATTGCATTTCATTTAGCCGTTTATATTATTTTTGTGATCGAGACCTTCTCACGTAGATATATATCTTGGCCGCAAAGTATTTATAAGTCATCGTTTGTACTTAGATTCATGAAGTCCCGCGAGTCGGATATCACCTTCGCCGGGTCCTTGCTATCCGTATCTGACTGACTAGCTATCTAAGACCCAGGCTGATGAAACAAGTTGGCAAAATATAACATTTGAGACTCGAGGTCAAAATCGATCATGAGCAAGCATGATGCAACCCCGACTGATATCTGAACAGCATCCTTTACCTCTTTCAATCTGAGAGACCTAGATTTATGTAAGCTTCCATGAACATGCCAGTCCAGGCCATCTTCCGTATTCCTCTTGGTCCGGCCCAATTATTCCACTGTCGGAACCAAAAATGTCTTGGGCAATCACGACCGCCATCCAGACAACTAAACCTTGGTAGCAATCGACTGTTTTCGGCACTGTAGTAATTCATGTCATCCATGAACCAGTCGCTTAATCTAGACAAGAAATTTTCTTCTCTAGATTTTACCACACCTCCACAGCATCCTGAGATAGAGACTTCTTCGACTTCTTTGAATGCAGTTAAATCTCGCATTCCGTTTTTGACTAGATAATCAAGAGTCTTGTCCGACATACGGATTCGTTTTATTCGACAACATTCTGCGTGGTAAAGCATATGAAGGCTCGGATAGGAGTTTCGGAAGGATTCCCAATCAAAGATAACAGTGTCAAGTTCGTAGTTGAAGTAAATGGTCGAATTGACTTTAGTACGAGTTCCAAAACTTATTTCATATTTTTGAAGAGCTTCGGCTCGAGCTTCGCGCGAAACGAGGAGTAAAGAGGGGATGTCCTTCGAGATGCAGGATTTCTTTGTGTAGTTGAATTGGACTACTACAGCTCGGGGAGATATTGCAAGATTCCAAATAACTAAGCGAAGCTCGATAGGAAGATCCGAGAAGGAAGTACGCGATTCGGAAGGTTCCGACATAGAAACGGTAAATTTTGAGTGTTCTGGAAGTTTGCTTTTTCAATGCATATTTGGGGAAACAGATATGTTTATTGTAGATATCTGGCGATACTTTGTGAAAACGGCAGCCTAAAATACGAATTGAATGAAACTGCATTGTAAGGTCTCTCGCCCGCAACTTAATCAGCCTCGAACTAAATCATCTTCTCAAGCTAGATAAGTTCTAGAGAGAATATCAACACGAATAGAATGATTTATCAGAAGCTGGATGCCAGCATCGGGCGCGCGTTGACATATGGCTTGATGCTGCACCGGGATTCAGCCAATCGCAACGCGTATACCCTGCGGTTGAGCTAGCTCACTACTGCACATAGCTGCAAGGTATGAGCATGGGGATGTTTGTTCTCACAAAGAAGCTCCTCATTTCAGCCGTAGGTCTTGCTACGATTTAACTAAATCTGCAAGCCGTACGAGTTTATAGGCACCTCATTTGATGATAAAAGAAAGGCTTCTCGTTCCTCCCGCTCTCTCGCTCATGCCGACAAAACTCATTCCGATGATAATCCACAGAAACGAAACAAGTTTACTCTGCTTTATGGCTACTCGTTTAAAAAGCAAAATCTCGTCAAGGAATATGTCAAGTAGAATTCCGAGTAGTTGTAGCTTGTGATTGATTTATACTTATATCTACCCACAGCTATGAATTTTATAGTGAATAATGTTGTGATGAATAGGGAGTTCTCTGAACCTTCAAACATAATACTACAATACCATTCACGAGGCTCCAAGAATAATAAACATGAAGTGTGATATAAGCAAACAAGAGGCAAGCAAGACGCAGATTGATCCACTGAACTTGTAGAACCAACACCGCAGAGTAGCTTCGAAAGCAGAAGAAGGTATTTAGAACAGAAACTTTCATATCATTACCATAATAATAATAAAACAGATTTTGGGGGTCGTTGATCTAGACATGGTAAAGACTGCAACGGGACGAAATGATGTAAGGTTGTTTTAGCCACTATTGAGGTGCGCACTGATCAGCCGCTAGATTTAAATCACATGACTTAGACAGCCATTTCGATATCGTGTCACTAGACCCACACCTATCTTTAAGAACGATGACATGACAAGAATCTGATCGAATCACGAAGCGAGCTGTACAGACTGGCATCACAGCAAGTCGAATAACCGCCGATCAATCACTTCACCAATAGAATAAGAATATAAAATAACAATGAGCCTGTTTATTGGAGTGATAAGGTGCATAAATATGCAATGCCATCTTCATAAGTGTGCGTAAGGCACAGCCACACGTGGCAAGGCAAACGGAGCCCATAAAACTTCTATCATAACGTTCAAGGAGAAAAGCAAACACTCAGGAGTGATACTAGGTAGACGAACTGAGATTTATGAGATCAACGTTCACTTCGACTAGCAAAAACCAACGTTTCTGAATTTGCTGGGAATTTTTCACAGGCGATCAGCATCTCTTATCATCAACATGAACCCCTCCAAGAACCTGCATGTGGAAGAGCTTATCGCCAAACTCCAAAAGTATGGCCTTGAACGCGAAGAATCACTTCCACATCTCATTATATCCGGCGATCTCTCTGATATTGGAGGTTCCGGACCAAAAGATTGGAAGCTTCGTACCCCATTCTCAACGGAAATAGTTCTCCGACAAAGTGAAATCAGCTCTCTCACAGTAAGATTGATCCCTGACTTTTCGCGGCCCGCTTCACAAAAATCCGATATCAAGTCTTTTCAAAAGTCTCTCGCCCATATTGGCGAACTTCCAAATGCCGTGCAGTTGGCTAGTGCGAAAGTTTACATGTTTCTCGATGCCAAAAATCTACCAGACAAAACACCATGGAAAGATGTTTTAAGGATTGAAATCGAAGGTCCATTGCAACCAAACCTTACCTTACTCGATATCCCCAGTCTCCTTGCAAACATCTCCAAGGTAGAAACCGGCTATGAAGAAGATAACGCCGCTTCGATTGCCGAAACAGCGTCTTTCACGGCTGGCTCCAATACACCCACACACACAATTATGACCGAAGATTTCCTCTCTCGTCCTCGCTCTCTCTCCCACGACACAGTTCCCCATGCTGGAAAGACATTCATGATTCGAGATCGCAATCATGGTGGAGTAATTACACTCAAAGAGGGAGCTCTCCAAATATCTCCCAATGTCCCTCGAGCCGGAGGGTGCCATTGGACATGCATAGAGCGCGATGGATGGTTTGGCTTCCGCAACTGCGTCTCCGGACAATTCTTTGGTCATGATAATAAGGGGAAATTTCATTGCAAGGTTGCTCACCATCGGAACCATGAATGGTTCTGTACGAGAGCTCATCCATTGGGTGGACATCTCTTGTTAATGTTGCATGGGGATAAGTTTCGACAAATGAAAATTGGGAATGATGAGACGGAGTTGGTGGAGACGGATGGGGAGGGGACTGCGTGGGATTTCATAGAAGTTTGAATACTGTCATGATATTAGTTGTGGTAGTGGCTCTTCCCTCTTGAGCAACCAATATTCAATTTTCTAAATCTGATGTTCGGCCTTTGGCTCTGATTATTTAAAATATTTTGGGAGATTTATGTTAAGTATGATTTGGACAACCAGGTCCCGGTGCATATCTAAATTTGCCAGATACATCGGCTGTTGCTTAAGCGGAATTCACAAGGCTTAGGTGAATTAGCCCGAGAATATTATTGCGCTTTAGATTGGTGAGCTCTTTAGTTTGGGAAACAGTGCCATTTATTGCGGGGATGGACATGATAGGATAGGAGCGTTAAGAACCACGATACAAATCTATTCCATAACCTTTTGCACAGTGCAATAACACGAATATTCTTTTACGGCTTTTTTACTTGCTCGCTTGCTGATGTGATGTTTTGGATATTTTATGCTTTGTATCTGTCTATCTGTTATGAATCATAACGAACCGAAGAAAGTGATGCGAAGATGATATGTAGGCGATTGAGTGTATGGATGTTATACCAACGTTAATGGCTCATAGATACGTTTTGTCATTGAAATCCTGCTATAACAACGGGATCAACTCGAAATACATTGCTTACGATCGTATAGGGAGTAAGAGTAGGTGTATCATATACTCCCATCATCTAGAACAAAACACTTATCATCACAATACTACTACCCTAGACCCAAATTTCAAGCGCTCTCCCACCTCGCCAATCTCCCCACCGTCTCCCCCGCATTCCTCACCACACACAAACACCCCTCCCTCAACCCCCTACTCCTCGTCTCCTTCACCATCTCCCTTGCAAACACAGTCCCAAACGCGGTACCTTTCCCCTCCGCCAAATTATATTCCCCAGTGGTAACGAACCCAACAAGATCTTCCTCGCCAGGAACCATAGGATGATTCTCCGAATCATTTTTCTCCTTTGGATATTGTAATGGTGGGTTCTGTAGCAGAGATTTTGCAAGAAGTTGGACACGTTGGGGTAATGGTGTGTTGAATGGTATTTTACCAATGTTTTTAAGGTCTTTGGCTTTGGGGTTTGGTGGTGGTTTCTTATGCAGAGGCGCGGGAACGAGGGAAAGCCATTCTTGACGGAGAGTAGGGAGTGTGGTAGATGTGGAGTTTATAGAATCTTCGCTAAGAATTGATTCGGCTGGGAGACGGTATATACGAGCGCTGGGAGTAGCGACGCCACGAGTTAAGAGTGTTAGACGGATAGTGGTGAGCTCTGTTGGTGCTGGAAGGCCTGCCGTGGGAGACGAAAGCAGAGAAGAGAATGACCTACTAGAGAGTTGGTTGAAAGGATTCTCGGTGGTTTTGTCTTTAGGCTCAGCAGTAGTTTCTGGCCCATCACCACTACTCGCATCACTCTGTTCGTTATCAGGTAATGTAGACAGCCCGGCCACTTTCTCAAAGTCACATGCCCAGCCTAATCCAAGCTCTCCTTTCCTTCCACCACCAAGATCAAGAGATTTCCACTCGACTCTCTTGCCTTTGGGTCTCTTGTCCCATTCTCGTTTTCTTTTCAACCTCTGTTCAACTTCCCAAGCGTGCCCAGCATTGGTTCCAGAATAATCAGCTGGAAACCATGGGACTCCATGCTCGAAGTGTGATTGTCTCAATTCCTGTAGACCTCCAAAACGAGGATTGGCGCCAGATGACAAGGGAAAGTGCATCAAACCATACCAGATTGGTAGTATACACTTCCAGGGAGCAAGAAGAGTCCAGCTACCTTGTGCTGCTGAGGAATTTGACATTCTTGATGCGATAATCATGATTGGTATAGGAGGATCACGTTCTGAGATGGAAGTAAAAGTGCCTGGGGGTGCTAAAGTTTTGCGACGATTTATGGCTTTCTGTGAAGGAAGACGGGTAGCTTTGTATCGTGTGTCTCGATCAAACAGGTGTGATGAAGCTGGTGACTGATCTGCCGGCCAAGAAGATAATAATTCGGCCAATTCAAAAGTCGCTTCCTCGTCAGCGGGATCTGGAAGTTCAACCTTGCGAGGTGGATATCGAAGTCTAGGGTCCATAATTGAGAACGACAATGTAGAATTTGCAGGTAAAGATGCAGGATTGGTGACACCAGCTAGCGAAGTAAATGTTTGTGCATGTGGCTCTTGATCATCTTCGGACTGGAAGTACGGATGAAGTGTACCAATTAAAGCTTCTGTTGAACCAGGACCTGTTATTTCGATACTTCCTATCTCAAAACGAAGGTCTTCAAGCTGGACGGTTGGGTGTTGCAATTTCGACAGGCGTAGGAGCTCAGTCCATGCTTCAAGGAATGCAGAAGGATGAATTCTGATCAAGACTTGTCTCATTGACTTTTTCGATACATTGGTAGCATTGCTATCTGAGTCTTCATGAATATCCCAAAACGCGACGGCAGGGCCAATCTGTAGTTTTTGTTCTTTCACTTCTCTGCTAAGCCACCCATTCCAGCTCCTTTTCCCCGCTCTCCATTTTGCGCCCCTTGCTGAATTTACATCCATCTCTGGTATGCCTATGGCCAAAAGAACCTTTCCGATAGACTCAACTGAACCCTTGAGACCAATAGTAGCCATGTAACTCATATCCCAAGCTACAGCCCCTCTACTTCCTCCTGCTCTATGTGTCGGTCTGTATGATTTTTCTGTTGAATTGAGTGGTATGGCCATCCTCCAAAGTGGCTCTTTGGGTTCTGTCATTTTCGCCCTCTTCGCATGCCATAAATGGGTAGGTAACCAAGTTTTATGAATTTGTCGCTTTCGAAACTTCGACGGCGGTTTCTGAGGCTCGTTCAAAGCATTCTGCCGTATCTTCGGTCTTGCAGCTCTAGTTATAATTCCTGCCACATTAGTTGCACCCTTTGAGGCCCTTTTCTTGTCTGCCAAAATTCCTAACTTCTTGGCCGTTTCTGCACGAATGCGACCCCTGGAACTTCCCGGTTTTCTCTTGTTTGCGTTGACAGTCGGTGTATTGTCCTCTTTCATTTCTCTTGCCCCTCTCTTTTGTAAACGTTTTGGTACTCTCTTCACATTATGACTTGCTGTTCTCCTTCTCATATCCCGGGGCACTTGTTGGAATGCTCTGGTAGACAAGGCACCCTTTGACCTTTTCATGCCATCTTCCAATGCCTTTATTTCATATTCTCGCGCATTCAGGAATGATTGCAAATCTAGGTCACCATTCTTGAGAGCAGCGTCGGCTGTCTGGGTCATTATCGATCGCGCATCCATGATCTTATTGCGCTTCATGGCTGGACCTCTCCCAGCATCATTCCTACCGTTGGACGATGAATATGGGGGTTCCTTGCGTTTATTCGTAGCAGCAGGCCTCAAAGGCATTTTGGGCGCCATTCCGACTGCAATTCCTCCACGCGACGAAGTGATATATTGATCGAGGTCTTGAAATCAAAAAAAGTAATTTAATTCTGCCATGTGTTTTGATGTACCGCCTTCCTAATCCGTATAATGACGAAGATTCCTCACACGAAACACGACACCACGCGACACCAATATCATGGACTAGATGATCAAAGTAAAAGAGCTTGTTGTAACTTCAATTCCTATTCTTATAAAGACGTATAACAGACTCTGTTGAAAGAGTATAGCAAATATCATAATGTTGTCCTGAAAGAACAACTTCATCAACTTCTTTACCTTCTTCACCATTCATGAAGCTGGAGCAGGTCTGAATTCGCCAAAAGAAGATCAGTAGCAAGTTTTTTTTCTTCTTTGCTTTCATGTCACTTCACTCCTTCTCATTTTTTCAAGACTTGCACCTTCATTTTCCCATACCTACCTTTATTTATTTTCTTTTCATACGTCGATTAAAATTCACAAATTACAATCCATTTAAACAGAAATCATTTCTCTAAATTTCAAAATCTCTTTCCTTCCTTCCTTCCTTCTCTCCGACAACTTGCAATTACAGTCGTTGTTCACAAATTACTACGATATTTCGCTTTTCCAGCACGAGTAACTTGATCAAAAAGTTCTCTTGTACTAGATTCATATCGCTACGTATACGCTCTTACCATGAGCATTCCACTGTCCGACCACGTCACAGCTTCAAGTCTCGGATCTCTCAAGTTTCCTCCGTCACCTCCTCATAATAGACATGAACATGAACTTTCTTCTTTGACGAAACCCTACGATTCCTGTCATCATCAACAACATCATCATCTTAGTTCTAAAGGACTTGGAGGAACACGAATTTCTCAAGTCGAGATTACTTCTTTCTATTCTCCTGCAAATTCATTATGCGAGCCAGATGGAACATCAACAATTGCTTCAACTCCTCCAATGTCCGGAATACAGCATATCAATGGCTCATCAACTTCTCTTCAACCTTCATCAGCTTCCTGTGGTTTGCCTCCATCTCAATCTACGATAGCTCCTCTTTGTCTTCAGTGCAAAGGTCACAAGTATGGCTTTACATCGTACTTTCACAACACCGCAATTTTTCCGGAACCGCCACACGATCTACTGATGTTGATAGAGCAATCTTATCTTCTAAGGAATCGGCTCAAGAGCTTGATGATCAACTATGTCACAAGGAGAGTTGACAATAGTCGTTTGGAAGCGATCGCTAACGAAATTTTGGACTGGAAGGGTCGCGTGGAATGCCTAGCAAGAGAAGTCTTGGTATCTTCAATGGGATTTGAATTGAATATGGAAGGTCTCGAAGCTGTCAATGATTGGGCAGCGGATTTGGTTCAACGATTGGGCAATCACGTGAATGGGTTTCAGAGGATGGAGCTCTCTAAAGAAGATCAGAAGAGATTGCTGATTGACTTCAAGAAACTATGGGAAGTGGTCTGGACGAGTTTCATGTCCGACCGGAACAAGCGAAACACGCCGAGAAGGTCATTACGTTCAAGAGATGCAGTCGATCTCGATTTACCGGACTCGGAAATTTAAGCAAACAGTGTTTGAGGTTTCGCTTTTTGCCATTAGTAGCTGGACTTGATTGATTTAGGTAGCCCGCATGATTGTGAGCAGCAGTTTAGTTTTTGATAACTTTAAACATACAATGACACATTCCACCTCTGTACTCCCTTTACATCTTGTGTGTTGCTTTACTTACTCGATGAGAAGGAAGAAAAGTGAATGCTATAGAAGATCAAGGTGAGAAACAAGGCAATTGATCTTTCCTCTCTTCGCTTCCGTTTGTCAAAAGGTCTCTCTTTAGTCCAGCTTGCTTTCATTCATAAATTCAAGATGATAGATAAATTTTCTCGCTTCACCAATTTCATTCGTTTGCTTTCGTTTGTCATTCAACTCTTAATTTTGCGGGTGTGTATGTTTATTTTACATACCTGCCTCCTTTGTCTACTCACCTTTCATAGCTCACTTCCGCACACAACTTCCCGCAACTACAATAAACCCAACATCTAAATTACACTTGCAGACCTCATGCAGTTTCCAGATTCATGTCTGATCCTCTGCAAATCCCAAGATTCTCTATGATCCTGACGCAAATATCAAATAGCAAAATAGCTTGATCCGGTTCCCGGTTCCCTTCACATTGCTTCATCTCACGATTTACTTTCTTTCTGAAGGTCATGGTATTGAATAGCTAGGTACAATACCCGCTCTATATTAGCAGTATATTATCACCGTCGCTTACCCGGGATAGCAACTACGAGTAGGGAGTTCTCTTCAACCCTTCGTTGTGTACCCATCCTTAAACTCAAGATGATCCGTCACAAGCAATACTAACAAGAACGCATTATACCACTATCACATTTCCTCCCACGGATATTCCCGCCATTCCATCCTACTCAAGAGAACTTAATCAATTTGCCTGGGTACCTAAGGTGTATACTGCAAATCCCCGATCAGAAAGATCCTCGTATTTCACAACCACTATATAGATTTACGTATCTATCAAATACAGTTCTTTCCTTTCTTCTTCGCAGCTCACAATGTATCGTCATATCATCATACAACACCAATCCTCCAATGTCCTACTAAATCCATCACCTTCTCGCCTATTGGGAACACTCCACCCATTGAATGGACCATCAAGGCTGATAGAAATACCAATAGTGTGTACATTGCTACGAACTATAAACATAAACTAAATACGAGAGCAAGCCTTACTCATCACCCATTACCCACTTCATTACCGATCTTCTAAATCTCCTTTCAAATTCAAAATTCCAATTCCAGGAAATTGGAACTCGGTACGCGATCCGATATATCATGTCTTTCTATCCCCCTCACTAAGTAAGTAAGTACTTACAATATCACTATCCATCCCTCTCTTTGATGATACAGAAGTCTTGTTTCCGCAACTAACCTGATCATTCTCTATTTTCACCTTCTATCTTCTTATTCTCATTCTCTATCCTTCCTCACAAGTACCATATTCATGATACTACTCACCCCGAGCCACTTACTCACCCACTCCACCCAACAAGCGAAACCCCCACAGAAATAGATACAGATACATAAATCACATCTCCACCTACCCGACTCAAGTCCCACGATACCCATTATCTATCATCCCACTAAATTTTCTCCTCAAGCGACAGAATCACTTACAGTATCTCCTCACTCTCCTCTCTCATCTGCATCTCTGTTTCCATCTTTCCTATCATTCTTCCTATCATCTACACCCAACCGACATCCACACCCCCCTCCACTTTCAACCAATACCTACCCCAACCAATATCTACTCCAACTAATCCCCTTCCTCCTCTCCCCTGCCCTGCCCTCCCCTTCTTCAAACCATACAATCACATCTTCCCACACAAATCCGATCCCTTTCCTGTAAATAAATTATTCACCCCAGTGTATTAATATAAATACCTACCTACCTACCTACCTACCTACCCACCCACCGATATACCGAAAGCGCTTTAGGAAATCCCCCCCCCCTTTCTCTCTAAAAGCAAATCCATTTCAACCATTTACATCCATCATCTATAAACCAGTCATCAGCTATGAATCAGCTGCAAGCTATTGGTATCAATCTCAACCTCAATATCAACATTAACCTCAACATGAATATCCCCCTCTTCCTCACACCACCAACACATACATCATTTACCCAAACCCCCTCCTGTCCTCTCCCTCTCCCTCTCCCTCTCCCGTCCCTAAATCTCACTCCCCCACCAGCCCTCTACTCCCCCAATCCAACAAATTCAACTTCCCAACCTCACAATCTTATACACACATACCCACTCATCTCCTCCCACATCTAAACCACTACCACCACCGAATAGCCAATCAAGTCAAAGACAATCATGCTCTATCGTGAATATCGCTAGTGTAAACAGCCAGAAAATAAAGCTTACTCATTCACTCTTGTCGACAGGTCAGGAAACACACTCGTTCTTTCATCTGAATATAGAACAGACTATTATGCTGGACATTATTTCCCTAGGTACCTACGATATACCTTGCCCTTGCATTCGTATTAGCAATTGCGAAAGCGAAAGCGAAAGCGATAGATCGCCCCAACTCTTCATACATCTCACATATAACACATTACACATCACGCAGAGCCAAACAAACACCTAACAAAATTTCCAAATTATCTCTCGTATCTACTTCCCAGAAATGACTGACTGCCTACACACTGCCTCCGCTCTTCCAGACCACTTACGCCCATCTTTCATCTTCCACCATCCCTCCTTATCTAGACTGTAACTTCCTTCCCAATAGCGCGCCACTTATACCCTCTCAGGCTATCAATTCACCACGATGAAAATCCGCCCAAGCCTAACTATCCGCCCATTCATCCATTTGTCTATACAACACCGTCAAACCCATCCTATTCCATCCCAGCCCATCCGTCTAGCAATCAACCAACAAAATAGATATCCCATAACCATCATCTCTGCTTCCCATTCTCAATTCCATCTCAACCTTGTGGATGAGATTAGAACTTTTCCTACTTCCTCATCAATTTCACCATTTTAGAATTTGTCTGACAGATGGCGCCAAGCAGAGTTCCTCCCACCATAGCTAGCCGGTAAGTGAAGTAGTGAAACAAGAAAGGAAATTCCTTTGTCTGTCATATACCAAAGATCCCCATCCGTTGCTCCCACCAATAAAAAGTCCACTTATGAAGAAGGATAGACGAGATAAAATACTGTTCAGTCAATCACTCGCATGAGCTGTCCCAGAGCAACTGTGGAAAAAATGGAGTATAGAAATTATATGCAGACATCAAGACGCCACCCCAAATGCAATATTACCAGAAAAGAAAAACAAAACTTGTGCGCGATGCATCTCGCCATGCACATGTGTATGTACCCGTCTCTCCTCAACTGGAAGACGTAAAAAACGACAATGCTTCCTCATTCAAGCCCCACCAAAATCTAATTGTG